CTCTCTCTCTCTCTCTCACACACACACACACACACACTCTCTCTCTCTCTCTCACACACACACACACACACACACACACACGAGCACATGTATGGACAAACACTGGTAGTAGCTCGTTGAGTACACTGTTTGCTGTGCTTTTGTTCTGAAATGTGTTGTAGATGTCGATCGCTCAATTTCTTGTACAAAGAAAAGAATGAGGGTTCTGTACTAATACAATGTGCATGGGACAAAGTAATTGGTAACTCGTCAGGCTCGTAATCTGAATGTTGTAGGTTCAAATCCTACTCCTGCCAATGTTCCGCCAATCTCTATTGGATGGAGCTAAGGGCTGAAGGGCGTGGCTGCGCCTCGCTACTGTGTTTGGGGGGCATTGTTATGTCACTGATTCACATTCCACCCAACAGAGAATCAGCAAGTTCCCGTACACATGCGAGATGACAAAGGAGATTTCGAGAGGAAAATCCACACTGAACCGGACTGCAGATGGACAGTGCAAGCACAAAACTCAAATAGAATTGAATTGTAAGTTGGTAACTATTCAGAGTCCCTCTTTCTCTCCAGTTCAATCAGCTACCAAAAGGACCCAAGAATCTCAACCAAGCATAAGCAACCTCACAGAAACTCCAACATGGCTTCCTCAAGCCTCCTGGAGTTGTCCCCCTTCCACCAACCTCCTCCTCTCAGAACCCGGCTATGGCGCTCATCCCGTAAGCCAGCGCCCAACTCGCAGAGCCTGCAGACCACCAGCTCCACACTCCTAACCTTGTCTGCCCAAGCGCCACTCAGAAATCACTCAGTATCAGCGCCAGTCCACAAACCACCCAGAATGGACCGTGCCAGTTCCAGGGAGGAGGAGTAACCTCCAGCTTAAGAACACTGCTGCCAAGAAGAAGAAGGTATGGCAGCGCCTAACCCCAACAGCACAGATATGTAGTCGCCTGGCTCAGCGCTAGAAGTACATGTTTCAGTGCAGCACTCTGAAACGCTCGCAGTTGCCTCCAGCTATGGCGCTGCTCCAGAAGCCTGGCAACGCCAATAACAACTCCAAGCAGCGTTTCACCCACTGCAGACCAACAGGTCAAAAACCTCAAACTCTACGAACTGACTCCATTTCAAGTCCTAGACAAATCCACTGTGAAGGTGCCCGTGGAAGCCGAGGGAAGATTGCCTGTGAGTGTGACCGGGTTAGGTAGCGGTGGTGGGTTGTGTGCCGTTGGAGCTGAGTGTACGTGGATTGCCGTGTCTGTGTGGTGTTGGTGTGGTGTGTGTGCGTTGGAGACTACAGCCCTGCGGGGGTGGGGTGGTATCACGACTGGTACGATTCCACTTTGAACACCGCATCGGGGCTGCAGTGGTTAAAAGACTTGGTTCCTGTGGGGGTTCGAGGCCGTGGTTGCACGGCAGGGCCTGGAGCCCTAAAGCATGGATCAGTAATCTACTGTGGAGGCGCCCGTGGAACCCCTGGGAAGATGGCCCGTGCGTGTGACTGGGTTAAGTAGCGGTGGTGGGTCGCATGCTGTTGGAACTGATGGTGCGTGGATTGCCGTGTCTGTGTGGTGTTGTGTGTGGTGTGTGTGCGTTGGACTTTACAGCCCTGCAGGGGTGGGGTGGATATCAGGACCGGTAATTCGACTTCAAACAGCAGATCAGGGCTGTAGTGGTTAAGAGACTTGGTTCCTGTGGCTGAGGGTGCCGGTTCGAGGCCGTGCATGCGGAGCGGGGCCTGAAGCCCTGAAGCACGGATGAGTAATCTACTGTGAAGGGGCCCGTGGAACCCGCGGGAAGATGGCCTGTGCATATGACCAGGTTAAGTAGTGGTGATGGGTCGCGCGCCGTTGGAACTGTGTGTGCATGGATTGCTGTGTCTGTGTGGTGTTGTGTGTGTGTTGGACACTACAGGCTGCAGGGTACGGGTGGATATCAGAACCGGTACAACACCATTTCGGGGCTGTAGTGGTTAAGAGACTTGGTTCCTGTAGCTGAAGGTGCCAGTTTGAGGCTGTGCGTGCGCTGCAGGGCCTCAAGCCCTAAAGCATGGATCAGTAGTCTACACCTACTGGACCGAGCTCCTTTCTTTCTTTGAAAAAAAAAAGCGAAAAAAAGACAGAGGTTCTGGCTCCATAATAGTCCATATCCATTTCGGGGAGCGCCAGTCCGGTTCCTTTTTTTTTTTATGTGTGTCATCCTTGCCCAGGGGCCATGCTAATCTTCTCTGTATCGTTCCAATTTTAACGGACGTCCCGAAGGACAACGCCAGTCCGGTTCCTATTCCCCTTGCAAGCCAACGAATTCAGATACATCATATACACACTCATGCATCCTTCCGTTCGGCTGAAAGATCCCTGACCAGCTTTGATTGCTCCCTGTCACAGAAGGATTGACTCTCAGCATCTCCTTCTAATGTATTCCTCTCACGTCCCTTGCGTAGGCCTGTCGGTTCTGGCAATTCACGTGAAGAATCATAAGAAGGCAAACTTCCTTCCATCAGATCGTCATGAGTCACGGCCTTGCTGGGCTGTGAGGCCCTCCCTGTCTGGCAGTCCTGTCTCCATAATGGAGTCTCTCCTTTTGTTTTTTACGAATAAAGGTTGTCTGCACTTCATACGGGGGACAGCTTCTTATATTCTACATATTCTCCTCTCGGTAACAGACGGCCTCACACTAGCTACCCAGGAACTCCGAAGTAATGCTTTTCATATCCAGAATGGACGCTGAACGTTATGCGTTCCCAGCTCCCCAAGCCCCCGCATGGTTGAGCCAAGTCCCGCCAGGTTAAATCCCGCTCTACTCTGTGCGGGGAGTAGTACCCAGGTGTGTGAACCCTGTTGCAAGATGACAGTGTCACCTGTCCTGCCAAGGTCAACCAGGGGGGGGCAACCACTTATCTCAGCTGGTGATCCCAAGGTGTGCTGCAAGGGTTTCGTGGGAGTCGAATGGAATCAAACACACAACCTCCTGAATGCTACTTAGGTGTTGGCCCTCATAGTGGAATCTGTGAATTGTACCAGTCTTTGAATCTCAGCCGCATGTCATTAGCATCTGCCAGCTTGCCCTGTGCTAGCCAGATTCTTCTAACTTTGTCGGGTGTAACTGACCTGCGTCTGGATAGCTCTGAACAGTCTCCTTAACCCTCCATTTTGCAGAGAATCTCTGCTTCCATCATGGCATTTGTAGCAGCCCAGACTTTATCAAGTGCGTTCTTTGTCTTGTCCAGAGTGCTGCTGCATCTCTCCTTCCAGATTTCCCATAGAGTGGCTTTACGAATCAGTCCAAACCAGAGTTTTGTCTTGCTTGGTCAAACGGGAAGGGATGTTAGTCCATAGGAGGAGTTGAATGGGGTCTTCCGGGAACGAGGAGGAAAAGAGGTGGTCCCCATAAATCAGAGGCCCTTGCCCATAGTTCTGTTGCTTCTTTACACCTGATTAGACAGTGCATTATGTCCTCTTGTTCTTGTTCTGTGCAAACTACCGGGCATATATCCGAGCTGTTAGGGTCTTTGTTGCTTTTTTTGATAGGCAGCCAGTAGTTGACTGGTAGGGCTACATATGTGATGAGCCACTGGAGACTTCTCATCTTGGTTGGGCGTATTGTTTGGCACCTTTTTCTTCCCCCYCCCCCCCCCCCTCCCCCCTTGACTGGGCGTATTGTTTTGTGCTTTTTCCAAGTTATTTCGGAAATTCGGTCGCTTCTTCCCCTAACAATCTTGTCCATCTGCGTCTAATCGTCGGTTCTGGGTCTTGTGTCTTCAGCAACATCTCATAGCCTAATTTGACTGTGTATTCTGATATTGGTACGATGAGGTTCTTCCTTATATGGTAACCTTTTTTCAGTTGCCAGACCCGTTCAGCTGGGTCAAACTCCAAGTCCTGGATGGCAGTCTTAATTTGAAATATCGCCTTTGGCCATAGCCCCATCACTCTGATTTTACGTAAGGCATACCATTTAGAGTAACATTTTTCGGGTCTTGATTCAGTATAGAAGGGGATCGGGGACTGGCTCCTTTTCCATTCTGGGGAGCGTCAGTCCGGTTCCTTTTACCCCGGCAAGTCAAGATTGAAAAGATTGAATACAATACGAGAAAACACACTCACACTTCCTTCCATATGGCTGAAGGACCCCTGACCAGCATTGATTGCTCCCTTGAGGGAGGATTGACTGTCAGCTTGCCCTAACAACTTGCTCCTCTCAGGTTCCCTTTTTGGGCCTGTCAAATAGACCTATTCAAACAAGAGAAAGTGGTAGGATCTGCCTCCATCCACAAATCTGAGTCTCCTTCCGCTCCAAAGTTCACGCCTGATACCCTTGCTGCTCAGTATAAGACACGGTTGTCTGTGTCGGAGCTACTCCGTTGGTCGTGAGGTATCTTGGTCCTCTCCTAGAGCCTTATGAGTTGTGCCAGTTCTTCCATCGTACATAAGAGTTCTTTATCTCTGCAACTTTTCCTTCAATCATCCAGGTCTTGGTAAACTTTAACTGTGCTGTGCGCTGTTGCTCATCCTCGTCTGGTATGGGAAGTCTTGTCTTGTGCCACTTGCATAGAATCT